GAATTCCAAGCAGGGCATTTTCAGGATCCTCCCCACCGCTGAGAGCCTCCAGATCCCGGGCAAACGCCGCTTTTCCCACGTTTTTCCGCAGGGATCACGGAATTCTGTCTCCGCCGGAGGCTCCCGGCCTGGCCCTGCCGCGCCTGAATCCCAGCGTTCCTTCCCTCCCTCCATCCAACGGCTCCGCTCCTCATCCCGCCAATCCCGGCTCCGGGAGTTTCGGGAACGCTCCGGGATCCGCCTTAAGCCAAAGCCCCGGGAATTCCCACCCTTTATCCCGCGGCGGCTCCCCCATGAACAGCCCCGGAATTCCGGCGTCGCAATTCCTGTCCCCCCGGCACCGCGGCAGCCCCGGAGCCGCTCCCAGGTCCCGCGGGTCCGCCGGGAATCCTTTCCCGCCTCCTTCCTCCTCCTCCTCCTCGTCCGGCGGCAATTCCCGGCCTTTTCCCAACTCCACGCTTCCCGATCCATCGGCGTTCCCGCGGCAACCCAGCTCCCAAAACTCTCCGGGACGTTTGGGCGGGAAGAACGAATCCAAGGACGGCGATCCCGACAAAACGGCCGACGCCGGAATTCCGGGAATTCTCCCGGGATCGGACGGGAACGATGCCAAGTGTCCTCCCCAAGCCACCAGCCAGCGGCTGGTGCAGCTCCTGGCCAGCACGGCCGAGCAGCAGCTGCGGCACCGCGGCGATCCCGAAATTCCCAAGGATTCTTTGGGATCGGGAGCGGGGAATTGCGGCGGTTCCTCGTCGTCGTGTCCGTCGTCGCACAGCTCGCTGACGGAGCGCCACAAAATCCTGCACCGGCTGCTCCAGGAGGGAAATCCCACGGATCCTGCGGCGGGGAGTAACGAGGAGAAGAAGGAGAACAACGGGAACGCGGCGCCGGAGAAAAAGGAATCCAAGGATCATCAGCTGCTCCGGTACCTCCTGGATAAGGACGAGAAGGAGTCGGGAGCCGGGATCAGCCTGGACGACGTCAAGGTCAAGATGGAAAAGGGGGAAAATTCCGAGGCCGTTCCCAAAATTCCCGTGGGAGAAGAGGGAAAGGCGGAGCCGCAGGGGCAGGTGGGGAATCCGTGGGGGTTTATGTGGGAATTGCGGGGGATTTGATTGGGAATTGGGGGAATTGT